AGGGGGGGGGGGGGGGGGGGGCATAGCAATCGCAATAACTTCCCTTCTATTTAAAGTTTGGCGCTGTTTTCAAAGTGTTCTAGACACTCGTTTCCATGATCTAAAGTTAGATTTCTTGGACGCATCTGTAATAGACTTACGTGTAACTCTCATTCAAGAATGGTCTTTAATTTTTGTTAAAAGATTGAAAAGCATCACAATAATGTGCTTCTTTTTTCTCTTGCTCGCAAGAATAATATTGGTTTTAGCCGAAGCTAGAAAGAGGTTTTGTCAAACGTTTGTTCTCCAAAATAGAAAATAAGGACGCATGTGACATACAAAAACCCGACTTCGGTAGTTTCTAACAGCAACGGCTGCATTCACAATTATCATCAAAAGAAAGATATTTACAAGTCAGGGACAGTCCAACAACGGCACACTGTATATAAAATAACCTCGGCATTATTACCACAAGCGCCCCCAGAACCCGTTAGGCAACTTAACTCATTGAAAACGCACTTCCTGGTCATTCGACAACGCTGTATAGAGGCACTTTTTAAAAAAAGTCATAACTTTGCTATTCAGACTATAATATCGATTTTTCAGTTCTGTTTTCGCGTTATTCGAAACGTTAAAAAACCACAAACTACACGTATAGGTATAATATAAACATTTCAATGTGTCTGGTGGCTCAAAATGTCTCCAACATTGTCTTTGGTCTGCTACAGATCGGACTTACAGGAGTTCGAGCTTTCCTCAATACAATTTGAACAAAACCAGCACAGCAAACACGAGTGAACACAAACACCAGTAACATACTATTTATCAACACAACATAAACATTCAATTAGCCACAGAAAAACCACCCCCACACCCAAAGCCCGTGGGGGAGGGGGGTGTAAAAGTTTGTGCATCGATGTCTGAGGATGACAATCGAAAAATAAAGGAATAATACGACTGTGGCTTCTGTTATGGCCAGTTAGGCTAATTCTGGCGGATAAGAGATTGACACATTTTGAGCAATTAAAAGCTACGTTGCCTTTTGTGGATGTGCACAACTTGTGGGCTACTCTTTTGACTTAAGCATAAATAGTTCCTT